ATGGGGATTTTACATATTCAAGGACTGCACAGCTTGGCTCTGTGTTAGAAATATTACACAAGTGCCCAGAATATAAACAGTACTCTACATTTGCTTTCGGACTGCATTCCTCCTATGGACTGTGTTTCCATTATGCATACCTATGGGGAACTATTTAATGAGATTAAAAATTGTTGAAGATTGTATAATTTTACTCTTGTCAAAGGATTTTACATATTCAAGGACTGCACAGCTTGGCTCTGTGTTAGAAATATTACACAAGTGCCCAGAATATAAACAGTACTCTACATTTGCTTTCGGACTGCATTCCTCCTATGGACTGTGTTTCCATTATGCATACCTATGGGGAACTATTTAATGAGATTAAAAATTGTTGAAGATTGTATAATTTTACTCTTGTCAAAGAATAGGTTTTGTTTCTGCTATTCTTAAAAAAAATATGGGCTAATAGTGCAGAAGAATAGGTTTTGTTTCTGCTATTCTTCACAAAAATATCGGCTAATAGTGCAAGAGTTTGTCACATCCCATTTCATGTTATATGAATTATTTAATCTATTTACTTTAAGGAAAATTAAGGATTATGTTTTTACTAAAATCCCAATAAACTATGATGTCCCTTTCTAGCCTGTCATTTCCTCTGATTGCAGATATGTGTAAGGTAGGTGAAACATGGGCTCTCCCCTTTTTAACAGCCCCAGTTTTCTATATCTTCTCTGCTGGATTAATTGGGTGATGCCAGGATTCCAGATGTGGCAAACCAAAGTGTTGAACACATGAAGCTAGCTTTAGGCATAAAGCACTGTGAATTTGATCCTGAACTTCACCAAAAATGACAACAAATCAGGACATAATACCACTGCCTCACATCATTATGCAACCTTAATTTGGCCCCCTTCTCTGCGTGCTTTATGACATTCTCTAATTATATCATCACATACTGCTTCTTCTGTAAGCTCTGCACTATTTATTGTATATGAACCCACTTGTTGGTCCTGTTTCATCACAATGTTCAACCTTTGCAAGCTGCAGGTTTATTATAGTCTCACTCAGTCTTTACTCCTATAGACTTCGGCGAGAGGTTTTGCCTGAGTCAAGATGGCAGGATTTGGTTTCAAGCATGAGTGCAGATCTGTGCATACAGCTCAATTGGAGTGGTTTTACCTGAGGTTTTCAGAACTGAATTCTGACTCCAGAAAACGAAGGAACAGATCTCTCCCCACTGGATCCTTCAGCACCTCATCTATAGAGAAGCCCCATCTTTTCACACGCTGTTGGCTGGGCTCTTTGCTGTTAAGGTGAGGGAAAGGAAAGTTAAGAGTGAATGCATGTTCACCTGTGGTCCAAAAAGGCTGAATACCAAGTGACTCTAGCCAAAAGAATGACAAATCAGCTGAGGGTGAGGCTGCATTAGTAACGCACACAAATGGAGGCTGTCATATACCGTTTGAAAAGAAGAACTGGATGTTAGAGTCCTTGCTATGGCAAATGCATTAGTAACGCACACAAATGGAGGCTGCCATATACCGTTTGAAAAGAAGAAGAACTGGATGCTAGAGTCCTTGCTATGGCAAATTTATTAACCTGGGAGGTGCTTATATATTAAGGAGATGTGAGCCAATACAAAATCCTGTAACAGACAGAACCAGAGTGGCATATCACCTTAAAGATGTTCTGAAAGGAGAAATACAAGTTTAAGTGTTGTTGTGGGAGGAGGAGAGTCAAGACAGAGTATGGAAGATATAGGACAATGCTGATGTTTGAAGGGCCACCTTCCCATACAATGTTTTATTCATAGCACAAGATGATGGATGTTTTTCACGGTGTATGATCCTTGCATGATTATTGATCATGCACTTTTTTCACATATTTCTTAAAGACACATGGCAGTTGAGGAAATATATTTCATTAGACCAACTTCTGCTGGTGAGAACAACATGCTTCCTTGCTCAAAAAGTCTGTCTCACTCATGAGCAGAAGTTGATCCAGTAAAAGATTACTTTACCCTCCTTGTTTCTCTACCATCCTGGGCCAAGAATGGCGCCAGTAACATTGCAAACACCACATGTTTCTTAGTAACTTCTTATTCTACAAGGCAGAGCTCTTTATATTGTGGTGCACAAACCACTGCTGGTCTACAAAGAGCTGGAGTGGGTCACATGGTTCAGGTGTCTTCTCATTTTCAATGGTAAGACTGCATTACAAACTAGCTTAAAATACGGTAAGGCCAAGATATTTAAAGGTGATTAGTGATTTTTCTCAGTGCTCAACTGGATACACTTCAAAGGGAACCCAATTGTCTGAAAATCAAGCCTTTTTAAGGGGTCTTAAGTTGGACATCCAAAAATGGAAGCACATTAGTCACCTTTGAAAAAGCCTCTCCAAAATACTTCCCTAATTACTGTTCCATGGAAGTAATTCCTATAGTTACATCAGGGATATTGTGTATTTCCAAATGGGAAGAGGTGGTGTCTGCTACTGCAAATTAGAAGAGATGTGTCTGGGGAAACAGCATTGAATTCAAATGTGGCCCACACGATGAAAATGTTTGAGGAGTCTCTGATTAAGGGGGAAATGATGTTAGGTACCAAATAAGAGGCATTCATTAAAATACAGCATGGTTGCTGAGACTGGTAGTATTTAAATTACTGTTGCATTTCCCAGAGTATGGGGTTCCAAAAAGGACTAGTGGCAGCGTCACAGTAGATGCATAAATTAAGATAGGTAGGCCTTTGCCAACACATGCTTGGTTTGAATGGGATGTGAATAAGATCATTTTCTTGAAAAAAGGGGCAGCAGGGAGCATCAGCATTCCAAATTATTTAAACAAGTTGCATCTAAATGCAGATGCAGCTAATGCTCTGGGAGTAGAGAGTAAAATGGATTTCTCAAGCTGTTCTCCCATCTCTCAGCAATATCATCTTCTCACATTCACCACCAGGAGAATCATCTCCATGAACTTGACCTGAGACTCTAGTGGCAGTGAGGCATTTCTTTTATGTTCATACATAGCACTGACATCATAGTCCTCAGGAGCACATAAGTCTATCAGGAAACACTGTGCTGACCACTTAGGGAGACAGTGTTAATATAATGTCAGGAACCAGCGTACCAGCATTCTGTTTACCTCAGAGAGGTATTTTGCTACATCTATGGCTGTGTATTCCATACAAACCCAGTCAAGAAGATTAAAATTGCATCAGGATCTTTCAGGGGAAGCAAAATCTAAAACGTGAAACAGATTTTTTAAAAGTCCAGGGCGTCACAAAATAAAACACAAGGGAAGTTGGGATTAAGAAATGGACAACTAGTTCCTGTGGGCAATTGAGTGAAAGTGGGGAGGTACCTTTCGCAGAAGGAAAGGTAACACAAATGCCCATTTGCTATGTCCTCAGATTTGTTTTAGAACAGAATTTGATGTCAGGCTGCTACTCCCCATAAATAGCCATGATTCAGCATACACTGGCTCTCCAAAGGCAGCCCGAGGATTTTTTTTTTAACCTCTGAGTTGCAAGGATCAGATTTTACCATAGGTCTCACATATAGTCAGGTATGAAACTGACTGGAGTGAATTTGGAGCTCTCCTGTCCAATATTTGACTATTTTAATATCACACTCTGGTCATATTTGGTCCTGAGTACGAATGCCAATTCAGTAGTCACACGGTAAGAGCAAGGGCTTCAGAGAAGTGGATGGTGCCTAATTACCATGATATCTGAACTGGGCTATAGTAATGTGACCAATGGTGTATGTTAATTATCTGGGGAGGCAGGAACCTGGTATTCTAAGGCCACATTCAGAGCTGCTCTATACTGCTAAACCTATGCTTAGGTGTGAAGATGCTAGTCCCAAGTGCTACTATCAAGCAGAATAAAGACAGACACTGGGCTTGACTTTATTCTGCCTTCCATCTTGGGCAGTCATTCACTCCTGTGCAAAGTGGGTTTGACCCACATGACCATTTTGATTTAACAAAATTGCACCCCCATTTCTCAAGGATGTAAACAAGTACAGAATGTGCATGGCAGTGGAGAATCACAACTAGATTATTTCCTTTACATTTTTACATATTTATTACATATCATAGAATAGCAAAACAAACAAGAAAGGCCCAACCCTCTGTGGCCATCTAATATAACTCATGAAAAGAAAAGTTATCATAAGCCCTTATTTCTTGCAAGCATGTATGACTTCTGCACTTACATGCATACCTAACCTACTGTCCATATGGCGCATAAGAGGAGCTCAATACAAATACAATGAAAGGACTGCTTTAAGATTATTTATAATTCCCATGGAATTTCCCCTTCTTACCTCATTTCTATGTCCCATAAAGTAGTGTCATCGCTTATCCAGTAAATGGATCATATTCAATGTACTGGTCTGAGTAAGTTTATTAAACTAGGACAGTGGAAAAAAAAGAAAAGAAAGTGGCCTAGATGCAAACATGTGAACTGGCGATCTACAGTTAAGAATTTTCCATTTAGTTTTACATGTTGGTCAGATTTTCCAACAGGCACTCACTGCTTTGCCCCGTGCCACCACTCATACATGGAAATAGTGCTTTATTATGACAGGGTAGGTAAAGCACATGTCATAGTTTCTATGCCTTGACTGAATGAATATGAAAACACTTCCTGGGCAAATAACTGAAGATGCAAATTTAAAAAGTGGTTTCCACATATACTTGCAAAAACATCTCGAGAATTCCCTTATGGAAACATTTTTGTGAGTAAAACTTGATCAATGAAATAACTGCAGTGGGGGAGAGGGGAATCACAACATGAAGATGAACACAGTTAACGGAAATTCATTTATTCATTTAATGCTATCCACTGAGTAATTGTAGACATTTTTAAATAAATAATCATAGAATCATAGAACTCTAGAACTGGAAGGGACCTCAAGAGGTCATCGAGTCCAGTCCCCTGTTCTCACAGCAGGACCCAGTACCACCTAGATCATCCCTGAAAGATGTCTATCTAACCTGCTCTGAAATATCTCTAGTGATAGAGATTCCACGACATCCCTAGGCTATTTTTATTCCAGTGTTTAACCATTCTGACAGTTAGGAAGTTTTTCCTAATGTCCAACCCAAACCTCCCTTGCTGCAGTTTAAGCCCATTGTCTTGTCCTATCATCAGAGGCCAAGGAGAACAATTTTTCTTCCTCCTCCTTGTGACACCCTTTTAGATACTTGAAAACTAACGTCTCTTCTCAGTCTTCTCCTTTCCAAACTAAACAAGCCCAGTTCTTTCAGTCTTTCTAATGAGAAGAACCTTTTATTGACAGTGTCAGAGAAGCCAGAAAGTTTGCTCTGACCTGTCCTGCTCCTCAATCCTCCCCTTTTTTGTTCCTAGATGTGGGCAGAAGGCATTAAAATCACAAACTTTTGTTATGTAGCAGGTACCAATGGCTCTTTGGGGCACTGAGTCTCATGATGTCTTATCTCATTTCAGTAATTACATTTCAGGACTGCTTAGGGGTTGGAGGAGGGAGCAGCATCTAGTTGAGTGGCATCCAATTTCAGAGAGAAGCAGCAAACCCAGAGATGGAAATGTGAGAGGAGGTCAAAAAATCAATCAGGTGCACTCTGCTGTGAAAGTTAAATGGGTCCTAATAAAATAATGAGAATGCATTGCAGGCGCCACAAGTAGTAGCAAAAAATAAGTTAATATTAAATAAAGCAACATGGGCTAAGTGCCTTTTGCTGATTCAACTTAGTAACAGCAGCTGGATCATTGCTCATCTAAATGAAGTTATAGGCATGGGCAATCCTAAGAAAAATAAATGTAAGCTAGGGCTTTTGGCCTTTCACATGATATATTATAATTCTAGCAGAAGATGTAGTGGTTATGCTTCACTGAGGGGTGCAAGAATAGTGTGAGGTACTTCTTACAGACACATTCACAGGGGTACTATTAATGCAGGGAATTCACAACTCCCTAGGCATGGTTCGCTACATAACGGTTTTCTACCAGCACACATTCATGCAATGTCAGAGTACGAACAAGAAAAGCTCAAACACTGTGGAAGGGTGTGGATGGATTTTCTGAGTAACAGTCACTTCACTTAAGGTATCCAAACCCTAAAGCCAGTAGTGGGCGGGACAAGCTGAGAAATAAATGTGGAGGAAGGAAAGAGAGTGCTTTTCACTGCATATTTCTTACACATACAGCAATAGAGCAATGTTTGGTTCCTCAAGAATTGTTGTGGTGGGTAGATTAACATAGAATCATGGATACCTAGAGCCAAAAGGAACCTGGACTGAGGCAGGATCATGTAAGCCTAGACCACCTCTGACAGGTATTTGACTGATTTGTTCTTAAAAACCTCCAGTGATGGAGATTCCATAGCTTCCCCAATCTAGTATTTATCTGTTCTTTACAGTTAGAGTGTTTTTCCTAATTCCTAATCAACATATCCCTTGGTGCAGATTAACCCAATTACTTCTTGTATTACCATCAGTGGACATGAAGAATCACTGATTGCTGTCTTCTTAATAGCAACTCTTAGCATATTAGAAACCTTATCAGGTTCCTCACTTCAATCTTCTTTTCTCAAGACTAAATACCCAATTTCTTCAACCTTCCCTCAATGGTCAGGTTTTCTGAACCTTTTGTTGCTTTCCTACGGACTCTATTTTGTCAGCATCTTTCTTGAAGTGTGGTGCTCAAAACTGAACACAGTACTGCAGCTGAAACCTCACCACTGCCAAGTAGAATAGAACAATTATTTCCTGTGTCTTAAATATAACAGTCCTGTTAATACACCCCAGAATGGTATCTGCCATTTTTGCAACTGTGTCATATTGTTGATTGACGTTCAATTTATAATCCACCATTACACTTTGTGGCTCAGGGACTTCTTGCTGCCTAAAAATTCCAGATCCACAATTTGAAAGGATGTTTCATTTCAAAATTTAAACTAAAGTAAAAAAAGTAGGACAACAGAAAATATTCAAAATAAAAACAAAACAGTTGAAATTAAAGATTTTGGCTGACCTGAATCATTTTTTCAAATTTTTTAGTTCACTTTTTAATTTTTTTTTTAACTTTTTGTCATTCTGAAGTGGCAGCTGGCAGAAAAGGGATTAAAAGCAGCCCTAAGGAGACTATGTCAGAGGCAGCCAATTATAACAGGGCTGAGAAGAGCAGCCAATCCTGACCTTGCAGGCTCATATGAGAAGGATTGCAGGACAAAGCAGAGCAGAAGGGAAAAGACTAAGCTCCTACCAGTAGGAAGGAGTGCCAGGTATGAGGGGGAGCAAGAGAGAGTTCCTGATGGGAGGCTAAGGTCTGCAGGTCAAGGCCCTGGGGTAACGGTATAAGGGGGTTGTAGAGGTGCATAGGAAGTGGCTCTGGGATAATGAACTGCAGTTACCACCGAGAGAGAGGCTGGACAGAGACTGCAGGTCCCCCAAATGTCAGAACACAGATTGTGGCACAAAGGGAGGACAATGTCTCTGAAGAGGATGCTGGAGTCCTGGGAGGACACCCTGGTGAGCAGAGCTAATTCCAATGACAGCTGGCAGGAGGCACCAGAGCGGGACTGTGATGGAGTTCACATACCAATTTGGGATAGTAAATCTCAACTTTTTTTGAATAAAAAAAAAGAAGGTGCTCAACATCTTGCAGGAGTGCTCAGCATCATGCAGGACAGACCCACCAGTGATCAGCACATTTCATGATTTAGCTGCAGATGAGAAACACAACTGTGCAGGAGAGTCAGAGTGTATCTGCACTGCAATTAGACACGTGTGACTGGTCTGTGCCAGCTGGCTCAGGGGAAGATTCTGTTTGATTGTGATGTAAACATTTGGGCTTCGGCTGGGAGTCCAGGTTCTAGACCCCGATGAGGTCAGAATTTCAGGTATCAACTGCACCTGGAATGGCTTAGTGTATTATGTCTTGCTAACACTGCAACTTGTGTCCCCTTGCACCCCTCCTGCACTGCAGAAATGCCTTTATACTGAACTAAAAAAAATGCATTGGTGTCGCACAGGGTCCTGCTGTCAGTATTCGGCTGTCTAATGGAAATCACAGGAAAGAAGTCTCCATTGTGCTGAAGCATGCAAAACTGCCTCACCATCAGCTAAATTAATCTCTCCAAGTATGGACTTTTTCTGACAGTGACAGTAATAAACGCATCTTCTTATTCAACAGGACTGGTCCTCATGTGTTCAGCATTTTACATGCTGACTCAAGGGACACCACTCTTTGTTTCAGATTATTGTTCCCATCAGCGCATTCCTTCTCATCTGCCCTCTCCTCTGTCCAGCCACATAACTAATCACTCCTTTATTATTTTTTTCCTGATCTGGTCTTCACACCTCATTCAGTACAGCTCCCCATGTCTGGGATTCTCTTCAAGACCCCATTTACCATGCTTTTAAACTCCAGAACAAATCTTAAGATTTGACTCTAAAAGAAACATGTAACCCTATAATAACCTACCAAAGTAACGCTTGTCCTTCATGGATTACACTTGTCTTTCTCCCTGTTTTCCAATGCCTGCTACATTCTGAATACCAGAATTATGAACTGATTGGTCAATCATGCACCCCATTTGCAACTGGAAACATGTAATCAGGAAGCAGCAGAGATTTTTTTAAACCAAAATATAGTACAGTGATGTGTGAAACAAACTGCTAAAATAAAAGGGAAAACAGCAGTTTTCTTCTGCACAGTAAAGTTTCAGTGCTGTTTTAAGTCAATGCTCAGTTATCAACTTTTTAAAGAACAGCCATGACATTTCGTTCAAAGTTACAAATTATCTCCATTCTTGAGGTGTTTGTAGCTCTGAGGTTCTACTGTATCTGTTTTCATTACGTCTTATAGTTTTCTCTGGTGAATATTTCAACATCTATCGACTTAAGTGACCTGTTATTCCTGGAGGTTTTCAAGCCTTGGAACATTATTAATAAGAATACTCTGGCTTGACATAACCATATTGCATAAGACAAATTAATAGAACAATAACATTTTTAAATAAAAGGGTTTTTTGTTTGAAAAAAGTAGTTAAAGTAGAAAAAAAACCCTTTTTATTATTAATTGTTAAAATTAAAGCAAAACATTTTGAATGAGTTGATCTGAATTTTTTTTCCAGATAATCAATTTATAAACAAGTTTGAGATTTTGTCTTGTCTCAGTTTGGGACAGGAAAATGTCTTAAAGCCTCTTAAATTCTCATGGGATGGGAAACTATTTCCTGACCAGCACCAGTCAAAATAACTAATCACTTTTGAAAATACTGGCAGTAATAAATACTACTATTAATGATGACAGTTCAGGACTACCTGAGAAACATGTATGTTCCTCAATGTTAATAAATTAATGAATTCTACCAATTTTATCCTTCAGAATTAATACAATTCTTGAAAATCTACAAAAAAGAAACTTATTTGTCTACAAATTACCTGTCCGTAGGTAGTTACTGCCTCATGATATCAACATCATTATTGGTGAAATCGATGCAAAATGACCTTTACTATAAAGAACAACATTCAGCTGCTAACTGCCAATGGGAAGAAAGGATTCAAAAAGCCTGGAGCATAAACATGAATGTAACCATTTTCAATACAGGAAAATATCATTACATTTATGCAAGATCCCATAAAACATTTGAATGTTTCCTTTTTAATTGGATACGTTTCTATTAAAATGGTTAGGTTTGATGACCCGTCAGGGAACTCACTTTCAACTGTGCGCCTTCTTAATTTGCCTAATTCAGTATAAATATGTTGAACCCAGGAGCTGATTCTGCAAAGCACAGAAGTTTGCAAGGTAATGTCTTTTTAATTTATTCTAAGTATGGCAAATGCCCACTGTTTCTCAATTATTTAATAATTTTCAATAAAGGGCCAGCCTTCACCTGGTACTGCATAAAATATAATGACCATTGTTCCATTGCTTTAGATTACAGTGCAGTTCTGCTTTGCAAAACAACTCTACATTGCATTGTGGGGACTCCTGTTTGTATCAAAGATTCCATTGCTCACTGTTATAAAACAACAAGTAACTAAGTTGTTTTATAACTGCCAGCCCTGCAGCCTCACCCACTGGGATGTTAAATCCAAGCAGGTTCTTTTCTGACTCATGCTTCATCACCAGCAATAAAGATGCTACAGAACAAATTGTGCTGACATTTGCATTCGTGTGGCCCTAACGTCTTAAAGCAGTGCCTGTTAGCCTTTCTAGACTATTGTACCCCTTTTGGGAGTCTGGTTTGTCTTGCTTACTCCCTCATTTAAACTGCTTGCTTATGAAATCAGACAAAAATACCAAAGTGTCACAGAATACTATTACTGAAAAATTGCCTACTTTCCCATTTTTACCATATAATTATAAACTAAATTGATTGGCATATAAAATATTTACCTATATATCCCTGTACAGTATATACAGCAGTATAAGCAAGTCTTTGTATGAAATTTCAGTTTGTACTTGTGTTGCTAGTGTTTTTAATGTAGCCTGCTGTAAAATGAGGTACATATCTAGATGAGTTGATGTACTCCTTGGAAAGCCTCTGTATTTCCAGGGGTACACCTATCCTCGGATGAGACCAGTGTCTCAGGGTCTTCAGTGAGATTGAAAAGCTGTATGTGGAGGCAGAATATGGCCATGTAACTGAAATTGCACTGTCAATTTTATACATGATGTGTGAATCAGAAGAGAATCCAGCTCATTCTCCTGGAGCTGCATTGGCTAACAGGAAGAAAGAGCAACCAAAAACGAATTATTTTTGTACAAAATGAATTGGGAAATGCTGTAACTGAAACGGAACTGTTATCATCCTTTGGCCTTGCACCATAACTTTACAGAAAAAATGACCAATGTGATAATCTGACATGAAGAACCACTAAGACAACCAGAGAGCATTATAATAATGCAAGTTAAAAAACTTACCTTTCAGCTACTTTGGACATTTTTAAACAGTGTCTGTCTATCTGCACATTCAGAAAGGTTATCTGGGAAAGGAGAGGATGATTAAAAGAGATTAACAACCCTGCAGACTGAGAGCCAGCAGAGCTGGAACCAGGGACTCCAGGGGGCCCCTCTTTTTAACATTTGCAAAGTAGCCTTGGGAAGGTGCAGAAAATTGGTTACAATGGGTGATCAGCTCCCCCCACCACAAAGTGTAACCTCTTCCTAGTGCAGGGCTGGGTTCATCCTTAGCCCTTCACCCTTGCCCAGGGGCCCTGCCTCCTGCTCCCCATCATTTCTCCCAGAAGCTGGGCTATTATAAGGACCAAGCCTGGGCTGCTGTAGGGAGCCTGGACCTACAAGCTGCCCTGGGTGGTGTGCCATAGGAAACAGTTCCCAGTTACCCTGGCCAGGCAGCAGGGCCTCAAGGGAAGAGAGGGAGCAAGGAAAGGGAACAATGTGTGGAGCCACAGTTCTGACACCAGTGGCCTCCCTGCCCCCATGCCTCTCCAGAGGTTCTGGCACTCCTGTCTGGAGCATCCCGATTGCGTCACAATGCAGTCTCTCCTTTGCATTTCATGTGACATACCAGTTTGCAAGGAAGTAGCCATCTGTTCTCTCCGACATATTAGAGAGAACACAATCATGAGACAGGATTACTTGTGCTGGAACAGAGATATTGATGTTGCCCTTCCCTGCCCACATTCATCCGGTTGGCTATGCCCTCTGATCACAACTGCGCTACCCCTTGCTACACTTGGGTGTTACTGTACCAGCTTCCCCCTCTAGGGTTCTACTACAGAAAGCAGCCTTTATTCCGACTGGAAATTCCTTGGAAGCCCTACCTGTGGAGGCTGTACTGAATAAGCAGAACCTCCAGCTGCTTTGGATACATCCTCCTCGCTTGTCAATACCACCAACTTTTTGAGTATGCCTGATGATTTGAAGGAGAGGCAAAATCATGGCTAGAGATGGTCCACTACTTCTACAAGTCTTTAAAATCTGGTTGACCTTTTGCTTGGTGGTGGCTTGCAAGCCTATCCTGATTTTCATTGAATGCATTCATTCTTTGAAAGTACTTGCCAAATATTTTGGACACATAATTTTCCGAGAGTCGGTTGTTCACAAACTTTTTGTGTTGTCTATTTGCTATTCGTGGTGTGTTGTTGGTCACATGACATTGTATTTGCTCTCTGATTGGATGACTGGGAGCTTTTTAAAAAGATAATTACTTACAAATTTGTGCTCAGATTTATTTTAACATTTTATGGGAAATATGGTCTGTGAGCAGGTAAGGAGAGAGGAATATTGGACTCTTCAATATTGATTGGAAAGGAGAATATGGCCTGTAGCATTCATCTCAAGGTAATTGCATGTTCCCTTTCATATTTAGTTTTTGATACACGATATTTTGTTCAAAGCATGCCCACATCACCTAACATTTCTGATTTTGCACCAGGAAACATCAAGCATGTTTCTGGCTCTATAGATATTTCAAAATAAATTGTGACCATCCTGGAGTAGCTGGCTACAGTAGCTTGGTGGAAAGTAAACACACAGGCCAGTGGACAAATAGTTTTCTGTTCCCAGAACGACCAGGATAGGGACTCCTGTAGAGCAATTCAATCAGACAGGCACCTGGAGCCAATTAAGAGCATGGCTAAACCAAGAGAGAGACAGGCTAATCAAAACACCTACAGCTCATTAAGGACCTGCTGGGGCTAGTTTAAAAGAGTTCCCTTCAAAGAGGGTAAGGCAAGCTAAGGACTGGGAGTGAGAAGAGGTGCTGTGGAGGGGCAGGAAGGATGTAGTCAGACACCAGGAAGAAGGTACAGGGAGAGGTCATTTGGGGAAATGGCCAAGGGAAATACCGCAACACTGGTAATGGAGGAAATATGGCATGTCACCACAGCCTTTGGGTATGTGTACACAGCAAAGTTATTTTGAGATAACTAGTATTATTTCAGAATAACAATGTGAGCGCCTAACTGGACCTAACCAAGTGAGTTATAAGATCAAGAACACATATTCCTGCGCATCCAGAAATATAATCTACGCTATCATGTGCCGAAAGTGTCCGTCTGCTATGTACATTGGACAAACATCTCAGACACTTCGCCAAAGGATTAATGCCCACAAAACAGATATCAGACAAGATCACAAAGAGAAAACAGTTTCTTGCCACTTTAACCAGAAAGGACACTCTCTAAATGACTTAGCCACCTGCATTCTGCTACAAAGACCTTTTACATCTGCACTTGAAAGGGAATCCTCTGAACTGTCATTCATGTTAAAATTCGACACTTACCACCAGGGACTTAACAAGTCTTTGAACTTTCTCACCCATTATCAAGACAGTTTCCCCAATTATCACCTGTAATACCATTAACTCACAAACATCCCACTCTCCCTACCTCTAATATCATCAATTCACAGACACTTACCTTCCTTCCTCCCCCTTCCCACCCCCCCGCCTCCTCCTTCTGTTCTGCAATGTGATTTGTCCTTTTCATATTTGTTCTTTTTTTTAATTGTATCCTTTGGTATATATGGTTGTGACTACTTTCTTCCACTATTTGATCTGAGGAAGTGGGTCTGGCCCACGAAAGCTCATCATCTAATAAACCATCTTGTTAGTCTTTAAAGTGCTACATTGTCCTGCATTTTGCTTCAACTACCCCAGACTAACACGGCTACATTTCTATCACTATTCCAAAATAGTTATTTTGAAATAAGGAATATGTAGATGCTCCACTGGTCCTATTTTGAAATAGCCCCTCACCAGGGCCATTCAAAGTTATACTCCCCAGTGCCTCCTGGGGCTCTAAATCGAGATAGCACGTCTACATTAGGGAAGCCTGTCTTGGACTAATTTTGAATCTTCCCTGCAGTGTGGAAGCTTATTCTGAAATAACTGTGCAGTGTGGATGTACCCTTAGGGTCTCTGGACTGAAACCTGGAATAGTGGGTGGACTTGGATTCCCCCAATACTCTCCCACCACTACAAAGTGTCCTCCTGAGAGAAAAGACAGGACTATGCAGCACTTTAAAGACTAACAAGATGGTTTATTAGGTGATGAGCTTTTGTGGGCCAGACCCACTTCCTCAGATCAATTTGTGGAAGAAAATTGGCACGACCATATATACTAAAGTGATACAATAAAAAAAATTGAACACATATAAAATTGACAAATCAGATTTTAGAATTGGGGGGAGGGAGGGAAGGTTAGTGTCTGTTAGGTAATGATATTGGGGTGATAATTGGGGAAGCTAATATCATTACCTCACAGACACTAACCTTCCCTCCTCACCCACCCGCCCCATTCTAAAAACGGATTTGTCAATTTTATGTGTGTTCACTTTTTTTTGATTGTATCACTTGGGTATATATGGTCGTGCCAATTTTCTTCCACAAATTGATCTGAGGAAGTGGGTCTAGCCCACAAAAGCTCATCACCTAATAAACCATCTTGTTAGTCTTTAAAGTGCTGCATAGTCCTGTCTTTTGTTTCAGCTAGACCAGACTAACACAGCTGCATCTCTATCACTATTCTCCTGAGAGGGGAGACTGGGCTTAAGGAGGGATTTCACCTAACCCACTGACAGGCCTGTGATAAAGGAGGCTCTGTAGGTTGTGACTCTTGCCTCTAGTAAAGGGCGAGAGGCTATGCTGAAGGCCCCAGCAAGTCTCTGAGGCAAATACTAACGGCCTAGATGCACAAGACTCCCTGAGTTAAGGCTGGAGGTCTGTCACAAAATATAAACATCTGTTTGAAAACAGTGTACCCAGTTCGTGGAGGAGTTGTTCTAAGGTGATCTACTCACTTGTTTTCGGAAGTCCTCTTTTGTAGTTTTTCGTACAGGTTGGGAAGGCATATGTACAGGGCTTTGGGACTGAGAATCTTCTGTAACCCCATATACTGACTGAAACAAATGACATGGAAAATTACAGAACTTTGCTGTTATATACATAAGGGAAATCTGTGCAAGAAAACAGTCGATCAATGAGTCAGCAACTTTCTACTGCTTGTCTTTTCAGAGACCAATAATTCTTAAATTTGGAACAAATTCATAAATGAGATTGTATCTACAAATTCCTGAATGCTGAATAGCTGTAGATGTGCTAATTGAAAATTGTAATTTTTCTGTGATGAGCCCAACGGATAACAAATGTCTCTGCTTGATAATCACAGATATAGAAGATGTTTTTTCTTCTGATTCCCTATCTTAGTATGTTAATTGCAAAAGTGAAGCTTCTACTTTTCATCAAAAAAGTTTCATTTAAGGCTTCGTCTCTGTTTATATTTATCTTATAACAAATCATGATACTTCAGAATTGCTCAGTATTTGCTTGTTTATTATAGAATTTCCTCATTTTCAGTCAGTAAGTCACACCCTCCATTTATGATGGCTGAAACATTTATTTAGACATAAAATAACTGTCCTTTTCTTTACTCTACATATCTATAGCATTTCTACAATGAATGGAAACATATTTATACTTGAGAAGTGACATTTTGATAGTCATACATTTTTAGTGTATACAGGCTACAGGGAGACTTCTGTGTGCATGAAGTTATACATGTGTGTTTGTGTGTGTAGGATAAGTAATTAAATTAGGGGTGGGAGTAGGAGAGGAAAATATAGGGGTGGAAATTCAACGCATACTCCATTTGCTCCTTAAGATGATACTAAAAAACTTTAAGAGAACTTAGGGAAATAATTTTTAATCCTAAGGCTTTGATATGCAGTACTGGGGGGAAAAAAGGGTTAACTTGAACCAAATTTTCCAAAAACCTTAAAAACAAACAGCAATAATAAAAACTCACCATCAGATTTACTGATAGTACATTTATTTGTCAGGTATTGAAGACAATATCAGGCATAATCTTGTTCACTTATTTTTTTCTTTACTTGACATTTGTATGAAACATTAAATGGTTATGATAACTTTTAATAGCCAGCATACTGACATATTTGGACCATTGTGTTGGTATGCACCAGCTCATTTGTTTGCCTAGATTTGTTAAAACGGCAGCTCCGTGGACACTGAGGCTATGTTTACACTAGGGAATAAGTTCGAAATAAGATACTTTGATTCCAGCTATGTAATTAACGTAGCTGGAGTTGTGTATCATAAATTGCATTTTGGTGCCGTCCACACAGTGATAGATTGATGGGAGCACACTCTCCCTTCGACTTCCCTTACTCCTCATGGAAGCAGGACTATCGGCACCAACGGGAGCACCCTCTCAGTCTGAATTAGCGTGTCTTCAATAGACCTGCTAATTCAAACCCTGGATGATCGACTGTGGCTAATTTGATCTCCTCTGTAGTGTAGACGAATCCTAATTGTTACTATCCTAGACAAAAAGAAAAAAATACTCAGTTCTTAATTTGAAAAGATTGCTGTCAAGTGGCTACCGCAGGAGTTGAAGTTAGCACTCCCTATTGCTGATCTCAACTTGGCCAAGACTTAGTCTGGTATCTGTCCATTTGTAAAACAAACATAATAAACTTACCTATGAATATGGAGGCTTAATTAATTTTTGAAAATTACTTCAAAATTCTTATTTGAAGGATGCAACATACTGTATCAGTGTGGAAGGTTTAGATTGGATAGTAAGAAAAACTACTTCGCTAGGAGGGCTGTCAAGCATTGCGATGGGTTTCTTAGGGAGGTGGTGAAATCTCCATCCTTAGAGGTTTTTAAGACCAGTCTTGAGAGAGCCCTGTCTGGAATTATTTAATAGGGGTTATTCTGGTTTGAGTAAGTGCTGAGGTCTCTTTCAACCCTAATCTCCCACAATTCTATGATTCATAGTTACTAGTATTCTGAAAAAAACAAACAAACCCAAAAAACAACTAACCTTTTTGACCTTCTGTGGGTTTTTCATACGGCGACACTTTCTGATGTCCATTTCTGTTGTGTTCACGCAGCCTGGCTAAGAAAGGGACATTTATAATATTACCAATGATATTAACAACTTATGTACCAGCTCCTCTTGTGGGAAAGCAATAATAAAGTTTTCATCCTTTGGTTGCAGTATAAATGTTACAAAAATACATAAAATCTTTTTTTTCAAAATGCTTTAAGGTGTGTCCTATAAATCATTCATTAATCAGTAACTGCATGTGTTAATTAAAGTTGAATCTCAACATCCAGTTCATTTGCTCATAGCTTTAGCACTCAGATCCCTTTCAGGCTGAAATTATTTGGTGTCAGGTAGAAAATGAGTTTTTCTAGAAAGCTTGAACAAAGCTGGTTTAACTGCTTTTTAAATATTCTTTTGAGGAGGGAAACACCCTTACACTTAGCCTGTACAGGCAGTCCCCGGGTTACATGGATCCGACTTACATCAGATCCCTACTTACAAATGGGGTGAGGCAACCCCGCACTAGCTGCTTCCCCCCAGCAGACCAGGGAGATGCGAAGCTAGCGCCCCCCCCTCCCCCCCAGCAGACCAGGGAGACGCAGCTTGAGAATAAAGGCCTGAGGGAAGTGAGGTGTGGGAGAATAAAACTGAGCTCTGGAGAAATGTTTGGCTAGAGTTTCCCCTACAATATGTACCAGTTCCGACTTACATACAAATTCAACTTAAGAACAAACCTACAGTCCCTATCTTGTACGTAACCCGGGGACTGCCTGTATGTGCAAATCTAAAACTTTTTTGAAACAATTTTGTTCATACTTGGATTGTTTTGAGGATTTCTTAATGGACAATTGAAACGTGAAGAAAATCTGTTCAGCAGTTTTGAAGCCAACTTCTCCGTGTACCATGTCGAACACTGCTAGGAAGTGTAATTTAAAAAGAACCTTACCACTGGTCTGTGCACATCCCAGAATGCTCTTTCTTGGCTGTCCAAAATTTTCCTCTCAGTTTTATCCTTTTTTCTGTCAATTCTAGAAGGGGGAAAAAAATGAAACAATCCCTGACTTCACTTTTCTGACTGTCTCACAATTTCCCCTTGGATTTGTGGAAACGATTGACAGCAGTATCCAGTATGTTTTTCCATACAAAGAAATGTCAGAGCCTCAAGCTGCCAAGTCTTGTGCAGGGTCTTGTGCAGGGTCTTGTGCAGCAAATAAAACCTTCCTGAAGTTTATTCCACCAGCCTTATGACAGGGATCTTTTTGTTTTTAGTAAGACCTTTTTTATTGATATTTGGTCTTCAGCTGTCAGCAAGTAGCTTTTCTGATACCAGACTTCCCAGTCCCAGTCGAGCAGAGCACTTCCATCGGTGCTTAACTTTAAACATGCAAGGAACCCCACTGAAATCTGTTTACTTAAAAGTTACATATGAACTTAAAGGCTGTGCTGGATCAGCATCCAACAAGTCAGATAAACATATGATTTCACAAACCTGTTCCTTGGCCCACCGACAGGGAGAAGAGGCCACTGACCCAGGACCCAACAATTCAAAAGGGCTAGGGGCACCTCACTGCTGCTGCTGTAACCGTGGTAGCTGGAGACCCAGGCCTTTTAAATCACTGCTGGAGCACCATGTGGTACACTCCAGGTGGCTCTGAGCTGTTGGGGGAAGGTGAACATGATGCGGTACACTTTGGGTGGCCCTGAGGTTTGACTAATCTAGCTCTTCCTCTTCTGCCTGAGGCCTTGTCCCGCCCTTCCAGGAACGTGGAGCCATTCCTCCCCTTTGCCCAGGGTCCTGGCAAGGCTGACTGTTCCCCATGGGACATACTAACAGAAGTATTGCAAATTCCTTATGGGCAGATTCCCATATCATAAAGACCAATAGCACCATCAAAACTGGCAGTGATACCCTTCTAATGCATTTCAGAAAACAAATTTACAGCCTATCCTGGAAAATGATTCCTCACTCTCACAGACCTTGGGAAACAGGCCAGTCTTTGCTTACAGACACCCCCCCCCAACCTGAAGCAAATACTCACCAGCATCTATACACCATACCACAGAAACACTAACCAGGAACCTATCCATGCAACAAACCCCATTGCCAATTCTGTCCACATATCTACTCAAGCGACACCACCATAGGACCTAACTACATCAGCTATACCATCATCTGGTAATGTGATAGATGCCATCATGTGTCAGCAATGCCCTTCTGCCATGACAAACCGGACAGACTCTGTGTCAAAGGATAAATGGACACAAATCAGACATCAAGAATGGGAACATACAAAAACCAGTAAGAGAACACTTCAATTTCCCTCACTCAGTAACAGATTTTAAAATGGCCATCCCTCAACAACAAACCACCACCTTCAAAAACAGATTTCAAAGAAAAACTGCAAAGTTGCAATTCATTTGCAACATTGGCACTATTATTCTGGGTTTGAATAGGGCCAGCGAATGGCTAGCTCACTACAAAAGCAATTTTCCCTCTCTTAGTATTTACACCTCCTCATCAACTATTGCGATTGGGCCACATCCACCCTAAGGCCATGTGTACACTGGGAGATTATTTCAAATTTACTAAATTCGACTTCTGGGCACCCAATTTTGCAAATTCGAAGTTCCGTGTCCTCATTATGGAGAAGAATCAAATGTAGTCCGAGGCAGGCTCTGTTAATGTGGGTATACTGCCTCAAACTCAGAGCCTCAGGAAGCAATCTGGAGAGCTATGGGAGCCCTCCTGGAGGCCAATTGTTTCAAATTAGTGGTACTGGAGCATCCACACTAATGTTATTGTGGACTTACAAGTTTGTGAATAGCGTTATTTCTCATGAAAAGCAGGACTACAGAGTTTGGATTCCATGGTTCCTTATTCCGGAATAACGGTTTTGATAGTGTAGACACATCGCTTACAAATTCGACTTTGGTGAGTTATTTTGGACTAAGGTCCTAGTGTAGACCAGGCCTAACTGAATTGGACTAGTTAGTACCGGTCCTTTACTTGGTAAGTAATTTCTTCCTTTTCACGTGCTAGTACACTTATGCCTGCTTCTGTAATTTCTACTCCAAATGCATCTGACAAAGTGGGCATAAGCTTTCATGGGCAAACAAATCGGTTAATATTTGAGATGCCCTAGGACTCCTCATTGTTTTTGTAGATACAGACTAACACAGCTACCCCTCTGATACAAGTCAGACTGAATGGAACAAGGAGAATGAACAATCCCCCTTAAGTATAATGTGGCCCCCTCAGAACACATTTGAAGCATATTGCATTGGGAAGTGGGGTAGAAGCCTGCACTGGAGGTGCACATGCTGTAATTGTTTTGTGTCTACACATAGGGCATCTGTTCCTAAAGCTCTTAGTTTTTAGTTCTGTACATTTGACACTATTTTTAAATCATAATATAAAGTAGTATTTGGGAGAAAACCCATCATTGTGTGTGTGTGGGGGGGGAGAGGGTATTGGTTATTTCTCCTCTTCTGCCCCATTGGAGAGGTTGTGATAAGGCCTATAAATTGTCTTATAACATCACCTCTTGGAACCTATCAGTGAGAAGCCTCTTTGAGACAACGATCCAGATTCTTGGCTGCAGAGGAGGGTGGCATGCAGAGGTGTGTGCTCCCCCTGTCCCAGGTCACCTATGCACTGGTCTGGCCACCTAGCATAAAGTAAGAGCAGCCTTCAGTTGGCTGTCAATAGCCCTAAGGCATGGCCACCAAGGATAAGAGACTCACGAGGCCTTGTCTACACTGCTAAGTTTGAGTGCCGATGTGGCAGCGCTTTAACACAGCAGTGTGGCCCAGGCACAAGCGCTGGGAGAGCTCTCCCAGCACCCTAGGTAAACCATCTTCACAAGGGAAACATCTCCACACAGGGAGCCTGTGTATACTAGTGCTTCACAGCACTGTAATGTGATACACTGCAGGGGGTGTGTGAGTGTGGAAATGTGTGTGTTCTTTCACACCCGAGTGAGAAAGTTACAGCACATAATGTGGCAGTGTAGACAAGCCCTTGGACACAGCCCACTTTCTTCAAGCCTAGCGCCTTATGCCAGATAAAGGATTGAATAGGAGATCTGATGCCGGCTTTCCACCACTGGAAGATTCCCACGCTCATAGTGGGTATCCGCCTGTGGCTGGCTACACCGGCTTTCAGGCTGCATTGTGCTAACAGTAAAGCATAACATGGTTTCAACACAATCTAGGATCTGGGCTTTTTATATAAATGTCCAAGAATATGCCATTGATTACAATATTTTTAAATATTGAATTATGACAATACAATATAATTAATTGCTTTAAGGCCAGGATTGTTAGGCACTGCAACTAAATCCACTAAGGTGGCGGCCTGATATTTAAAACACCAAGCAACCACAGCTCTCATTGAAGTCCACATTGAATACTACTACTCATTTAATATGCCCAGGGCTTTGCAAGTCCATCCTGCAGGTAAATACACCAATGGAACTCTATATGCAAGGCGACGCCCAACGGTGCAGCTCTTGCACAAATGTTCCCAGATTTTTTTAGTTTTTTCAATTTAAATCTTACTCTGCAGTGCTGAAAACCTAAGCCCAAACAGCACTGATATAATGGCTGAAAACCAAGAAAGCAAGCCAGCTAGTGACAGGAAGCGACTGCCACCAGTTGAGCGTTTCTGCTACAAGTAAACAAAATGGAGAAAAGAAAATAAGACTTAAACTACTTCGAGTTGTAATGATCTATGCTACTAGGGATAGAAGTACATAAATCAAAGTACATTTGTTTTGATTATCATTTTTATCTTGACAGTGAACATTTAAGCATCTTAAAGACCTAATTATTGTAACTTCTAATTTTCTCCTCTCATAAGAACACTAGTATTCTGAACTGAAATAATCCCTTAATTACCATGTTATTTTTAAGGATAATTACCATGTTCTTAAATGATCCATAATTGCAATGTAATTACAGTGTTAATCAATGAAATACTACAAATATAGATACACGCATATATACACATACATAAGTAGCAATATTCTTTCACTTTGTAACGTTTATTTTGCTCTCTAATTCTCAAAGTGCAACTTCTCTCTGTTTTTTGGTGTTTCCCAAGAATACAAATATCCACATTCTGTATCACTAATGTGTGATCACTTTCATCTTCTTTGTATTTTCCACGTGAGACAACTCCTTCTGCAAGATGGGCATGCAGATTAATTTCACAAACCCAGAATCATGCACATATTGTGACAGTAGCAACATCACGTTGCATATACTACTAAGAGACTGCACATCATGATCACGGATAAAGACAAGGTAGACTGGTGAGTCCTGGTTTTGGCACAAATGATAAGAGACTTGAACAAAAGCAAGAAGCTTAGAAATTCCTGGCATCCAGCACAGATTATTAGATCCATCTTTCTCCTGGCACTTTTTCTCATGGTATGTGAATTTGTCCTATGCTGTTTCCATTGTGACAGGGGATAGAATTTACCAGTAAATCGTCCTATGCTGTTTCCATTGTGACAGGGAATAGAATTTACCAATATAGTTTTGGCAATATAGAATTTACCAATATAGAATTTACTGAATATAGTTTTGGCAAAGGCTTTCCACGGGAAACATCATCTTAAACAGATCCCCTTCTCCATCAAAGTTCTAAAGACTGCTGCAATTCACTGAACTGGCAATACTTACTTCACTTGGGCCTCTGCTTGCATAAAGATGAATTCCCACTTCCTTGCAAAAGCCCTCTGTAGTCTTGCTAAGTTTTCCTAGTAAGAGAAACAAATGAAGTGAACAAACGATCACACTAAATTGTAACTGCAGTTCAAGAACTAAATTATTACATCAGATGTTTTAACCTGGAAAGCTCAAAACACTGAAATTAACATTGGCAAATTGTCTCAGTAAGCAAAGTACGATAGGAATGTGAATGCCATGGTGTGTGTGTCCCTTTCAAGCCACCACATAGCGGGAACGGGAAGGACCTAAATAAGAACTGTAACAGGGTGAAACTGACTCCCAGAGCTCTGCTAATACAGGTTGAACCTCCAAAATCTGGGACTCTCTGGAGTGGATGTTGTTGGATCAGAGAGCCCCGGAGCCTGGGAGTGCAAACTGGCTGGGAGCCCCGTCCCCCATGAGCCGCAGCCAGTGGGGCAGCAGTGGCACCAGAGAGAGGCAGCCGGGTGGGGCAGCCAGTGGCAAAAGCAGGGCAGCCAGCAAGCCCCATCCCTGGGGATCCCTGGTCAGGCGGGAGAGAGGCAGGGCTACTACAGCTGGGGAACTCTGTCCCTGGGGAGCCCCAGCAGGCCAAAGCCCAAGTCCAAGCCCTGCAGGCTGGAGCCCAGTGGCAGTGGGGCCTGTGTGGAGACAGCTGCAGGGAGAGGGAGCATCTTGGAAGGCCGGTAGCAGGGGACTTCCCCATATCTGACAAATTCCCTCATTAGGGATGGGTCAGGTCCAGAGGGTGCCAGATAAGGGAGGTCCAACCTGTATTGTGTTGAACTTATTTCCATGTATTTCTCAGTTTAGTTTCTACAAGACAACACTGTGAATGTTTTTGGAAACGGGGCTCTCTGTTCCATTCAGAGAACAGCTGACTTCTATGTGCATGCTTTGCTTTTGTGTGGGGTGGCTAGGTGGAGGAAGGGAGGGGGGAGTGAAACAAGGGCCTTACTTATTTCATAAAGGAGACCATCCTCAGTTGTTCAGTGGATTATTAACCCTGAAGGCATTTCACAGTGTGGAGGACTGAAGTATGGGCATCATCTAAGCAGTTCATGAAAGGAAATTGATTATTTGATAGGACAATGGAAATAACTAGAGTTAGGCCCACACAGCTAAGTTTGGATCCAGATCCAGATCTTCCCTGAGTCTGAGGTTCAGTTTAGGTTTCTGCTCCATGACTGTTATAGAGTGTGGCCTGAGCCACACAGTTTGGAGCTGGATCTAAACTTTATCAGACCGATGTGGGGTTTGGGACAAGGCCCAAATTCCAGGTTCAAGCCCATTTCTAAAATTAACTTCACAACACTGACAATTATTCTGAAGTCACTTACACACACAGGCTGTGTCTAGACTGCTCCTCTTTTTTGGAAAAGGGATGCAGATTAGACACAG